CAGGAAAATGAACTGTAAGCCTAGGAGACAGAAGTGCTGTTAACACAGACACACGATCTGATTTTTAAAGCATGTCATCAATCTATGCTGTAACAGCTCCCATGACAGCTTTTCACTCTTCTCCCATCACCACATACAGATTTTGCCTACAGCACACACCTGGGTACCTCACCTAAAAGCTCACCCTAAGTCAACAGCAATCCTCGACTAAAGCTGCAGGGTTGTTGGCTTAAGCTCAGCTGAAGAGCCCCCAGTGCTTTGCGAGCTCTAGGCAAGAGCGCTGGAATCCTGCGGGACTCCCCCAGGCTGGGAAGCCATCCACACGCGGGCTGCTGATGACCGAGATGTGGTGTGCTCTCCACCCAAATGGGACCCCTCAGGCATACTGCTAAAGCAATGACATTTCTTAAAGATCCTGCTTCATGATCTCCCTAGCGTGAGAAGCACATAAATCAACACCAACCACGTAATTCTGGCTCGGTACCTAGCAAAGCCAGCAGCACTCTCCCCACAATCGGAGCCCCTACCCTTTTCAAAAAAGCTTGAGAAGTATTTGATCTCTCTCTAGAAACTGCAGCTCTCTTTCTGAGTCTTCAAACCCAAAGATGGGATCTTCAGTCAGATGCTCAGCTCAACTCTCGCAGCGCTACAGCTTCAGGATGACCCAGCTGCTAAACAGATACTACAGTCAATAGGCTTCAAACTAGTCTGATTTAACCAATTCCTTGTGTATTTTGAGCTTTAGCCTTTAATCTGTACTCAAGATAGGATGGAAATCCAAACTTAGAATTTTACAGCTCTTTAAGGAGAATATGAGCGCCCCAGTACTATTTGCTAAAGGCTCTCCGTGAATCTGAAAGATCATGAGTAAGACTGCATCACAATAGCTTTAAGCACAATTTTGTAAATTAAACTGCTGGTTTTTGGATAGAAGTCTCTGCAGGACACTGCAGAGGCTTATGCTTTAGAAGACTTTCATTTTGGAAAACATTTTTGTTATACAAGAGAAAAAACAGATGATTTCAATCAAAACGGTTTATTTTAAACCGAGGAAAAATATAATCTCTCCACACGAGAGCACTACGTGTGCATGTCTTCTGTTTCTGGCTCTGCTGAACTGAACGGCTGCCAGTCTTTGCAGAACACCCAGATCTTTAGAGGAGTTACACTAGGACAGTGATAACAGTGATAGACTACGTACAGCCTTCAATAATTAATTGGAAACTCATCTAAAGTCAGCCACTGACACCAGCGAGCAGGCACCAAGATGCTCCTTCTGCAAGAGAAAGTCACGCACCCGAAATTTACAGTCCTTCCCAAAAACTTCTCAGAAGTCTTTAAAGCTTTTAATTGCTCTAAATCTAATTAGTACAAGAGCTAATTAGACAGAGGTATTAACACATTGCAGTTAATACAGCAAACAGAAATTATATAAAAAAAAAAAAAAAAAAAAAAAAAAGACAGTTGGGGCTTAAAGAGAACTTTGATCCCAATTATTTGCTCCCTAGACTCAGTGTTTTGAAATACCTAAACCAAAATGCTGATGACACCCCTTAACTAGGGTCAAAACACACATCTTGAAACACATTTGCTTTCCAGTTAATTAACTCAGTAAGCCGATACTAAATTATTTGCTATCAGCTTCCAGAAGGTGGAGACAGAAGAGCCACAGAAGCGAAGCCTTTTATTATTTTTTTCCAGTTGGTTTGGTGAGCAACGTCAAGCAGAGAAAATACTCTAACAGTGCAGACATCGAGTACTTCTCTCTAAGCAAAAGTCTCAAATTTGGTTCTGCAATGCCAAGGAATTATTCCTGGAATACATTCATTGAGGATTTCTTCTATTAAGCATACTTCAAAGCTGAGAAGGTCAGTGCACAGCACGTTTAACTATTCTATTCTGATTCATATTCACTTAGAAATACTTATCTTAATAATGGGGCCTTTCAGAAAATTGAGGCAAAAAAGAACACTTACGCTAACCATCAATAGTGGGTTTATTCCAGCAGCCTGAGTGCTTGCTTCCACAAGACTCCTATTACAGAGATCATTACCATAATGAACAAAAATCAAAG